TACACTGAGTCATTTTTATGTACAGTGAATGTGATGGAGTTTTTTTTTGATGTTTATTGATACACATTCGTCGTGCATCTATTCGGAGTTAATTGGGCATGAATCCATTGGGAACTAATCGTATTTGCTGTGGTTTTGTTGTGGTTAGCATATTTAATGATTTGGATTTGAGTGTAAATTTGTGCTGAATTCAGGGTAAAATGGAATATTGCACGGATATACTGAAACAACTTTTGAAAGAGCTGATCGATCGAACTGTTGAGAAGAAATTTCAACCGAAAATCCTATTTCGACGTTCAGAAAGTGTTGCTGAACGAATGTTAGCCGCGTGGTATACGTTCTTGATGCATCGATACTTAATTGTATGTCATTTTTTCCTTTGTTTTGTACTTATTAATTGTTGCTCTTCTCATTTTATTCTGGATTTTATAGTCAACGTTATCATGAGATGTTTTATTTCGTTTTGAAATTAGCCGGACGACTGACCAATTTTTGCAATCAGTTTATCTTTGACTTATTTTCCTTTCCGTTGATTGCTTGCTATTGATTCTGTCTCTGTATCATAAAAAGTCCGTCAATGAATCCAAACACGATCAAGTCAATCAATCAATTAATAACTATTGATTAAGGAACATGCTGGTCAAAAATTGTACGAATTGTATTGGTCCATAAAGCAACAAGTTGAGAAAGGACCGCAAGATGCGGTGACTCTCGAAGCGAGGTACTCCTTAAGTGAGGAGAAATTATTACGGTCCTCATTCGATTTCCACGAACTGATTGTCTTCATAACGGCTGATAATTATGCAGCGGGTATTTGTGAATATCCGGTGAGGGTACTCGACTGTGATACTATCACTCAGGTTCATTCTTATTATTTCTTTTATTTAAAGAGACATAATCTGTTATGAATATTGACTGATTGACATCGCTGTAATTGGTGGTAGTGTAATGATTATGATAATAATAATCGGTATTATCAGGTGAAAGAGAAGTGTCTGGATGCGAAGTATCGCACGACGCCGTTCTCGGATCGTCCATCGGCAAATGATTTGGATTTGGAGTTGCGATCGACGTGTCCTCGTATAATATTGCAAGATATCGATAGCACTTCGAAGATGGAAGCGGGCGGTTGGAAGAAACTGAATACTCTTGCGCATTACAAGGTTGTTTTTTTGGTTTGCTTTCGTCACGTTCAGTATTCATTTCTTATTGTGTATTGTAGTGTACAGC